TAATCAAGGTCATCGAACCAAAAGTCTTTTGCAGTCATAGAAGTTGGTTATGCATTTTGGCAGTGTGCCTGAAATCTTGTTAATAGAAAGATCCAAGACTTATGTTTGATGAAAGGCACAAGGTGAATTTAATTTCTCCAAGCTCTGTTAACAGATAAATTGTTCACTCAAAAGGCCAAATGTCTCACATACATACAATCAAATTATAGACTACAACACCTCATAACTTGTGGGTAACAAAAGGCCACAGTAAAATATGTAGGCGACAATTGATCAAATAAAAACGGCGATATTTTTTCATTAAAAAGAGACGAACCTACACGATACCGAAAATTAAAAAGCTTATCAAACTACATACTTATTTCAACTCCTACCATCCTTCGAACTCGCATGAACCGTTGGCCATGGTAGATTATTAGATTGACAACTACTAATGAACAATACTAAGGCTTAAATAAACTTGGACCCACCTAGTTAAGACATTGTCTTTTTTTTTTGTGCCGATCTAAGGCACCTATTTTTTGTACGGAGACAACGAAGATGCAGTGGAACTGTTTGGAATATCATAAATTTCATCATTGTTGTTGTCCCAATCGTGCGAGGCCCAATGCCTTTTGAACTTGATCAAAACAACGGAAGTGGAAGGTAAGGTGGTCGGTGGTTTTTCTGGGTCCGGAAGAGAGGAAACACTTGTGGATTCAGAGTTATACCAAGCAAGGTCATAATGGAAACAATTATTTGTGTTGTCAAACTCATTTTTTATAGACGAATGGGGATTACCGTCTTCGTCATTGTCTCCATCTTCATCGACATTGTCCCTTCATCGTGGTCGTCATTGTCTCCTTCATCTTTATCGTCAGTAAGGTCAATCACTTCATTTGGCTGCCCACACGCGTTCATGGTAGCACCTCCGAACAAAATTTCCATCCCTTCGAGAGCAGATTCTCCCTCCTTTATGTAGGCCATCGCTAGCTTTTCGTTCTACGATATTAAAGAACATTACTCGAATGAACTTAAATGAACAAGCAGGCTAATATTTCATGCCAAAAAAATAAGAAATAAACTTACTCGAATGAGATACTCCCAGGTAAATTGGCCCGCATAAACTTTATTGTTTATAGGTGTGTACACAACACAGCTTTGTTGTATCATCCATGTAAAAACTTTATAACGTTTATGGAGCTTATGTACCTTTCCTTTGCAATATTCAAAATCGATGTTCTTACCAAATTATGCGTTGACGACTCCCTGTGCACTCAGTATAAGGTGATGGTTTGGATGACCCACCTCAAAATTTCCCGCAACAACTTGCTCAACCAACTCTTTGACAAACCTTGTTTCAATTTCCCTAGTCCATTCCCCAGAGTAAAAAACCTTACTTTGTGAAATGGCAGATTTCAAATTGTGTTTTGGAGCCATTGAACTACAACCTGTTTGGTTAACAAAACTAGTGTTTTGTATTCTACAGTCTTATGTTCTTTTGTTGCTTCTTCAAAATGCATGGTTTTAACATGTTTATATAATAGTTCTATTGCATAGTGAAGACATTTCTCATGCACGTAAAAAACAAAACCTTACAGTTTCCTTCAGTTTTTTTTTTTTTGGTTTGTAGGGAATATATTCCTTTTACTTGAATTTGAAAAATCCAATTGCAAAATATTCTTATTCCTTTGAATGAAATGTGACTGACTGAAGGGAATATGTAAGAGAATATGAATATATCCTATATACAATAACAAGCTATATGTCTAAATTACTTTATAAAGGAATATATTCTTTTTTCCCATAAAATGCTATCAGACAAACTGATGGTGTTTTTGTTCATGTACCAACGGGTAAAACACTACTCTTCCTTAACCAACAAATAAGATTTTGTCTTCTCCATCCCACACAATTATTTTTGGTGAATACAATGTCTCGAGATAGTAGAAGAAAGAGTTCGTCGGAAAAACCAGCTCATAACTTTGAGAAAAATGAAGCTCCTGTAAGAAGGTGTTTCCACAACAAGGAGGCTCAGTTCTTAATGTCGAACACGGAAAAAAAAATCCGTGTAGGAGGTACCATAGATGCAAATTTCGCAATGTAAGTAATGGCTTGTATGTTCTCTTTCAATAATCCCAAACAAAGTACATCTCGGTTGCACTCAAAGTTGATGCATTGCTACTGCTTTAATTAATAATTAACAAAAGGAAGCAAACAAAATGTGATGTCAATGCTATCAACATTAACACAGGTTATTTGTCTCAGTTAGGCTACCAACATATATGATTGATATATACATTTTACTTGTCTCAGCTAGGATATCAACATATTATTAATAGAGGTTACTTTTATTTTCTTTGTTGAGATACCTTACAGTATGTATGTGATATTTGAGTAGTCCCAAACCAAGGGTGTCCTAGGGTCAGGATTTTAATTTTTGCTTTGCTTTACAAATTCAAATGTAGTATTTAATGACTTTGATTTAGAGCATGAAATTGAGTTTAATGACATGTGAATACAGAGAGTCGTTCGTTTGAAAATTACTTTCTAACTCGATCTCCTTCCTTTTATTGCAGACGGAAGATTGCCGCTTTTTGAGCGGCTCGACGACGAGATGCATCTTTTTCAAAAGTCCAGCTACCTAAACCTAAGATCTGCTAAGTTAATGTTAGAGGAAGAAGTTAAAAAGAAGGATGCCATGTTGGAAGATTTAATTGAAAAGTTGGACAAAAAGGGAAAAAAACTAAGGAGCGTAAAATCTCAAATGTCGAGCTTCTCGATCTATTAGCTTCGAAAAATTGTAGAAGAAGTCCTGGTTGTAAGATTCATGTTTTCATTGTCCTGATGTGCTTGATAAGTGTTGTATGATATTTTAAGGATGGTAAGTATTGACTATAGGTGGCCGTCATTTATCTTTGTGACTCGCATGAACAACGCATTATTACTCGTCTTAATGTTCCTATTGATGGTTCAATGTTAGGTTGTTGGTTTTCATTAACTTGTAAGTTTAATAGTATCTTTTGTGAGATGACTTATTATTGAGCTGGTTTTTGCTTTTGGAGTTTGGATTTGGCTTTTTCATTGTCTGTATTTCTCGTTCTGACAATTCCTTTTGATTTAATGGTTTCTTAAATTGATGGTTTATGATTGGTTAAAGTATGTCATGTGTTTGTTGTGTCCTCTGTAGATGTTGCTATAATGTGTTTGTTTTTCTTATATTTGTTGTTATAATGTAGTTGCATTTCTTGTATTTTACAGCTGTAATGTATTTGCTTTCTTGTTAAATGTTGCTGCTCCATGAGTTCAATATCATTTCAACACATCAAACAGATTCATGAGTTCAACACCAAACAAATGCATGAATTCAATATCATTTTAACACCAATCACATTCATGAGTTCAATACTATTTTAGCACACCAAACATATTCAAGAGCTCAATATCATTTCAACTGCTCAATATATTCCCTGTATCTCCAAAACCAAATGCAAAATACAAACAAAGTTATCAATCAATATTTCATATTATTCCCGGTTTTTTTAAACATAATCCAAATCCCAACATTTGTATTCAATGTAGAAAAACTGAAAAACCAATTCACATTACAAAATAACCAATTCAGAAAGAGTGAATAACCAATTCAAAATACAAAATAGTATTGTTGTTGCAACCCACAGTGACATAAGTACATAAGTTCAGGCTTCAAACCTATTACACTTCAATACAACACTTGTGGCCATAGGCAAAACAAAATGACAAATTATTGTCTATACTAATTCATCTCTTTCTTACTAAACCACTAAACTCAATAGGCGTTGCATTCTTTGTCTTGAACAATAACTCTGCCGTTTGATAATGTTTCATGCCATATGTTCCGAAGAACATCCATTCATTAGTTTCCTGAAAAGATACAATAGTTGAATTAAAACAAAATCAAAAAACCTGCATTTACTCAACCGGAAGAAAACATGCAAAAGCAATTTACATTTTTCCTTAGTGATTGATTGCCAATACACACCATCGACAAAGACTCTGTTAGTCTTTACATTGTGATATACGCCCGGAATTTGTTTCCACTCCATAAACAAATTGTATTTGCACCAGAAATTGATGACTTCTTGTTGTACCATTGGGATGAAATATTTTTTTTCTTAAATTTTCAATCAAGTGTCTAGTGATAAGCCACAAATAGGTATCAAATGTCGTAATGGAACTTACAAGGATATTATGAGCAGCATGTTCAAGTTGTTCAACGAGGAAGTTCTCTTCGTTTTCATCCCAACCGTCAGAACTTAATATTTTGGCAATGTCATCATTTCGAGTGTGTGGTTTCATTCATGCCATAGTTGACCTATAAAATGAAATTTGAATCATGAGTGTTCTATCACATGGAAGGTTGTCTAAGCTACATCACATATATGTTCACATGAATTGAGAAAAAGAGTGGCAAACATTTCCCATTTGAGACAACTAACATAGATTGAAACAATGTATTTTCATTAAAAAAATAAATGTATATTTTCACAATTAATTAAAGCAGAAAATAACTATTATTTGTAATGAGACCTTTGGATCATGACAAATCTAAAAATTAACCACATTTGATGCATGCACCAAATACAAATGCCATGACCAATGTGATTATGAATTGGCTTAAGCTTTGTTAAGGATATAAGACATTAGTGTAAATGCAAATCTATTTTGCCCAGAGCCTATGTTTGAAGCCATTTCAGAAGGATCTTTCTTTCTCCTTTTCTTTAGTTATTGATTTTGGTGTAAATATGAGACTATATAGACATCGTCAATTCATATCCTCAATTTTAGTTGTATTCACTAATTATTGTAGGAAGACTGGAATGTGACGATCTCAAGAAAATATGTTACCTTTAATAAGGCGTTTGATAAGCAGATCATAAAGCAATCAAACAACCAAAGCTAAAAAAGTTCACACCCAACAAACAGTCTGGACATCATATTAAATTATTCATAAACTCCTCGAAACCAAACAAATGAAAAACCGGCATAAACCTGAACAAATGAAAAACCAACATAAACCTCAATGAAGTTTTTATCATACAATTTGAATATCTAACAGACTTCACGTCTTCCATTCCCTGTGCACATTCAAACAATTCATCTTTGTAATGACACTTATGCAAATTAAGTCCCTCATGAACATTTGTCATGCAAAAAGTAAATGGGGATACTTGTAAAGAATCTTTTGATCACTCTCATTTAATTCAATTCTCCTTTTATTTTATTATGTAATTTATTGTATTTATAAAAGTTGTTCTTCATGTTTAGTCTAACTATGTACAGAAACTAGCCATTTTTCTGAAATTATTCATTTAACCTTCAAGTTAATTTTTGCACATTTACCCATAGCCATCTTATTTGTAATGTTCTGTGAGACAATACAAGTTAATTAACTAATAGAGCAGATAAACATAATCCAATTTAAGACCTATTAATCAATATAATGAGTAAATTTGTATCAAGTTTACACACTCTTATGTTTTCTTTTGAATCAACGATGCACCTTTAAAAAATGCAGGGATTGGAAATTGGGAATGTCGACCTCAAGTGAAGAGGAACCCTAATTTAGGTTAATCTCCCCAATAATTGAACTCAGTGAACAAATTAAAGAATTAAAACCTTAACTTAACACAATAATTTTATTATAATTTCGCAAGAAACGTTTTCGATTAAACCAAAAGAAAATTAACGAACCTGAAGAAGCCCGCAAAAATTGATTTTTGAGAGATGTGACAAGAAATTGATTTCTTCGTTGGGTGCGCCGATACTCAAAAAGTGGGAATCTTCCTCTGGGTGTGCCGATTCTCAAAAAGTCGAAATCATCTTCTTGACAGAGCGGAAGATTGTATGGTCGAAATTTTTGTAAAATCAGCTGGCTTGGTGTGAAATCGTTTTCTTCCTCCGTTGGGTGTGAAATCGTCTTGCTTGGTGTCAAATGGT